AGTTTAAAAATTGTCCATCACAAGAAAATTATATAAACTTTAAAAAACAACAAGCTTTTAAAAAACTTACATTAAAAATAGAAAAACATAACAGTTGGGTCCGTCTTTGTGAATCATTCAATCGCTCAACACCATTGTCTTTGATCTGGAAACATATGAGGAAATTTGGTAAAATTTATAATTCAAAAGGAGAGCAAGACGGTTGGGTTTTGGAGTTTCTTGAAAAATACAGTTCTGTTTGTCAAAATCAGCTACTGAAATCAGCTACTAATTGAAAATGTTTTGTCAATTAATAACAACAGTTTTTTATGTGATTCTTTTACTCTCCAAGAGTTGAAATCTGCAATCGCTTCTCGTAAAGATACAAGATTCGGTTTTGATGGTATTCCATACATTTTGTTTAAAAATCTCAGTGATTCTGCTCTGAGAAAAATATTGTTGATTTTGAATGAATTGTGGTTAAATATTGAAATCCCAACAGACTGGAAAATTGACATTTTAGTACCTGTATTAAAACCTCAAAAACCTAAATACAATGCTACTTAATTCTTATCGCCCAATAACTCTCACTTCATGCGTGGGTAAACTTTTTGAACAGTTGTTAAAACAAAGATTGGAATTTTTTGTTGAAAAATATAATTTAATATCTGACAATCAGTATGGTTTTCGTAAAGGTAAATCTGCACATGAAAGCTTCTGTCAATTGCATTTAGATATTTGTAATAGTGTTGTAAATAAAGATTGTCTTGTTGCTGTATTTTTTGATATTTCTGGAGCATTTAACAGTGTTGATATTGATGTCCTCTTCAAAGAACTGTGTGGTTTAGGTATACCTGTAAAAATTGTAAATTGGGTTCATAATTTCTTACTAAATAGAAAGGTTTATGCTAAATATAATGGTAAAATTTATGGTCCTATGTCTTCTTCAACAGGTGTTTGTCGAGGAGGAATATTGTCACCCCTGTTATTTCTTTTGTATATACACAGATTAAATGAAATATTAGGCACTAATATAAAAAACTTACAGTTTGCAGATGATTTAGTGATATACGCTAGTGGGAAAAATATCCAGCAAGTGATTGCTGATATAAATTTAGCTCTAACAAAGTTACATGAATATTTTAGTTACTTAAAACTTGAAGTTAATGCGGCCAAATCAAAAGTTTTGGTTTTTGGTAAACATTCTTCTATTCCTCCCGTAGTATACAACAACTTACCATTGGTTCTGTCGTTAGAGGCTAAGTTTCTTGGTGTTTTATTCACAACTTCATTATCCTGGAATGAATATGTAGAATTAATTATTGCAAGAGCCAATAGAGCTTTGAATATATTAAAGAGTTTGTCAAAAATCAGTTGGGTAGCAGACCCTAAAATACTGCTGATGTTGTACAAATCATTGGTCAGAAGTCATTTTGAATATGGTTTTTTGTGTTTTGGTTCAGTCCATAAACTTGTTGATAAACTTGATAAAATACAAAACAATGCCTTACGCTTAATTACTGGTGCATTTAAAACCACACCTATTAATGCAATGCAATTAAAGTGTAATTTACCACCAATCAAAATCAGATTAGAGCATCTAAAAGAAAGATTCATTTTTAAAATATATACAAATAAAAACAATACATTACTTAATTATTTGTCATCTGCTTCTTCTACTTTCTTCAATAAATGTCCATTTGTTCTTGAAAATATATCTGGGTTTCTTCAATTTCTTCATGATGCACATATTCAGCGAAATGAATCCCATTTTCCTTGTTATCAAGGTGAATTTGAAAGTAAATACCCTGATATAAATAATAAATTATAGTCCCAGTAGATCCCCTGAATTACAATAGAAAAGAAACCAAAGGGTACTGAAAAAAAATAAAAAAATTCTTGGCGAGGGGATCATAACACGGCCGGGTCCGCCTTGGTCCCCCCATCGTCCGCGGGCCGAGGGGAAAACCCTCAATGCCCCAAAAGTGGGGGTGAAACGGGGCCTTGGGGGTTCCCTCCCAGCAACGCGGAATTTTCCCCGCGGAGGAGGGGGCTTTTTCAGAAGGGTGGGGCGAATTTCCGCGCAACCCCGGCACCCCCCGTCACTGTCTCCTAAAACAGGGGGCCCAACGGGTCGCGAAACTTGCGCACCCCGGGTGCGGGTAGGGAACCCGGGCCAATCTTCACGGTGGTACCGCGGGGTGAGGTGGACGTTCGCCCCGTCCGCCGTGCGCGCCGAACCCGCGGCTGGCGCGTACTCGAGGGGGCGGAGACGCTCTCGGACCACAGATATGTCCGATTTGAGCTCTCCGCCTCCTCTGCGTCGTCAACGTCGTCGACATTGTCTTCGGCGTCAGCCGCGGGCGCCCGCGGTGAGGAGGAGCTCCCGCAAGGTGCACCCCGTTCGTTCCCCAGGCCTTGAAACGAATGAACATAAGCGAGATTGGCCCGCCCCCCCTTGATGCGGAGGGCCGACCCGGGCCCGCCTTGTTGGAGGCAGCCCCCGTGGGCATCCAAAACCGCCCGGCCAGCGGGGGAAACGGTGGGAAAGCGGGTGGGCAGATTCGAAACCCTGTTCCGGGGGCCCAAAACCCCATGGGGCGCAAAATAATTTGTGGGAGGGAAGTGCCCCGGCCATGCCCTCCACGGGGTTCAGCTACCCGGGCCCCCTCAGGGAGGCAACACAGGTGGGGGGAGGGGATGGCGGGCATGGGGTGGGGGTTCCACCGAGGGGATTCCCGCAAGACTCCAGGGCGGATGGGAAATTGCGTGCAGGGGGGTGGCAGCCGGCTCTCGCGCCGCCCGGGAAGCTGGCACGCCCCAACCCGGCCGCCGCCGTCGTCCCGGGAACCGGCTGGCCGGGGTTTTTTTTTTTTTTTTTTATTTTTTTTTTTTTTTTTTTTTTTTGCCGTGAGAGCGGCCGGGCCCAGGCCGCACCGCTGGACTGGGTGTCGCCAAAAGGCAGAACGGGGGGGCGCTGCAGCGCCCTTGGAGCCATCCCGGGGGCCGAGGGGCCCAAGGTGGAAAGCCCAGAGCAGTGGGAAAGTAAATTCTCTGGAAAGTCCCGCCTCCGACAAGATCCTGGGGGGCGGCCTCATACAAGAATCGGTCGCAGGAAACTGCAGCCGTGGGCCTCCCGGGAACCGAGCGGCCCTCCAGCCCTCGGCAGCTCGGGAAATTGTAGCAGGCACTCTTCCCGCCCAGCAAGCGGGGGGGTTACTTTGAAACCCCCCCCAGATGGACGCCACGTGGGGCACGCCTCCACGTCGCCCCAGCGTTCCCGCTGCCGAGGAGCCCCCTCCCCCTATCACGGGGGCGGAGATCCATGCGGCCGTGTCCAAAATGAGGGCAGCCAAGGACACGGCCCCCGGCCCTGACGGCGTTCC